AGAGTCGAGTGTGGAGCTTATTTCCTGCTGGAATAACTGAAGATCAGTATCCCATTCACTCATTTTTAGACATGCTGAGCTCCAGATGGCTTCAGGACATCCAGGTGGACACCAGGAGGATTTTGAAACTCAGAAGAAAGGTTTATGCCAGAAATAAAGATTGGGAGACATCAGCACATGCAGCTGAAGTCCCAGAGTAGGTGAGCTCACATGGAAAAGAAAAAGATCCAAATACACACGTAGAATTTTTTTCTTGGCTTATGAGAAGTTTGCTTGATAGAGTTTAAGTTCTAAATCAATCTTTTTTTGTTTACCACTCTACTCCAGTGGCTAGCAAAGTGACTGACAACTAAATATTTTAAATAATTCAATAATTATTTGGAGGGACGTTTACTTCCTTAAGTTTTGGGTTATTAAAAGGATCTCATAGATCTGCAACCATGGTTAATGTGGATTTAACTCATCTAGCATGAAGTGACCAAAGATAAAACTCATTTGTATGTTAATTTCCACCTAATTTAAAAAATTTATCTTTTTATCAAGTGTCCTTGGCCTGCTTTAGAGAAGTGGTGTTAGTAGGTGAGGTACAAACCTACTTAAAAATGGGGGCTTTTGTAAGCTTTGTCTGTCTGTTTGTTTTGGCAATTCCTGCCCAGAGCCTGGGACACAGCCTGCCCTGTCACCTCTGCCTCCCACATCCTTCTAACTGGCTTGCCCCTTTCTCTTTCTTCCACACAGCTGGCGTGCTAACATCGAGGGCTGCTGCAGTCACTTATCATGCTGGTTCTGTTGGCCCTTCTTTCTACATCAATAGGGAAGCCAGGCAGTGTTAGCTCCAGAACTTACTGGGAGAATGGGAGAGCATCAACCTATCTGATCTGAGGAGGAGAGACAAAGAGGTGAAATGCATTTGCAGAGTATCCCAAAGGAAAAAAGTAACTTCATGTATCCATATGACAGTGGGGAGCATCATGCATGATTCCCACCTCCCGCCCTGCTGCATGCATTTCTACCGCAGCCAGGCCCAAGCTTACTCACATCTCTGCCTGAGAAGGCCAGGGCCTATGGCTTTAGGAATTTCAAAAAACACTCTAGTTTCTTATCTTGCATGCCATTCTGCTGCAATATCCCGACACATACCTGCTATTATATCATTCCGTTTCATTAGTTTCACTGCACTTATCAGCATCCAAATTTCATATATTTCTTAACTTGATTACTCTGTCCTTCCTCATTTGACCACAAAGTCCAGAAGGGCAGATTCCATGTCTGGTTTTACTCATCAATGGTAAAGCTCCATTTATATATTTTAATTTTCAAAATTCAAGTAAGACCAGAATCTTATATCATGAATTTTCATAGTAAGAACTATTTTTTTACCCATGCTTTACTTAAAGAATCACAAAATCATAGTCTTTGTACAGAGTTATTTTAATAATATATTCTTTCTATATTCTATCAGTCAAGATAAAAAATACGATGATGTACTGCAGCGTCACTTAACATTTCTCACTTTCCTCCTGTCCCATTTGGCCATCTTACTTTTATATTTTATACTATCTCAAATCACAGCATCATTATATCTGACCCATATTATACATTAGAAAACTGGGTAAGGGCGCCTGGGCAGCTCAGTCGGTTGAGCATCCGACTTCGGCTCAGGTCATGATATCACGGTTCGTGGGTTTGAGCCCTACATCGGGCTCTGTGCTGACAGCTCGGAGCCTGGAGCCTGCTTCGGATTCTGTGTTTCCCTCTCTCTGACCCTCCCCCTGTTCATGCTCTGTCTTTCTCTGTCTCAAAAATGAATATTAAAAAAAAAAACTTATTAAAAAAAAAAGAAAACTGGGTAAGATCAAAGACCCAACCAATGACTGCGAAACGCTGAGTTGCAGTATTATCTTATCGTTACAAATAAGATACTTTGCAAATGGGATAGTTTTTGCCTACAAGCTCCAATATAAATACAAGCAAAATAGTACCCAGAAATCCAAGGACCAGAAAGTGAATAAAGATGAGTACTACAGGATCCTCAGCTCTCCAGAAACACTGGGTTGAGTATCTGACTCCATCATTTACTCTACTATTTGGTATTCTCTGCTGATGATAAAGGCCACATTTATGATTTATTTACCACTGTCTTTTAATCCCACTTCTGCCACATACATTCTCTTTCAGCAAAGGGGCTTGATGATGGCCAAGGAGTTTTTCAGGCCAGAATGACTTGTGCAGTTAAACTGTCACTTACCCCTTTAGACTTTAAACTGCTGTTGCAAACATAAACATAGCCCTTGCTTATAACATGACTGTTTATACTTCTGGAATCTTTTGTTTTCCATCTCAATTTAAAATTGGGATTTTATTATGTCCCAGAGAAAATTTTCTTTCAGAAAAACAGATATAAAATCTGCATTAGAAAGGCAGAAATTGGAGAATTTGTGCTTTCTTCTTATTTCCCAGATTTGGCAGTTTTTGCTGGAGAAATCCAAATATGAAAATAATGCACAAATGTTAGAAGAAGTAAAACAAAACAGACCGTGGACCAGGTCCGGGTACCATGCTTGGTGTAGTAGGAAACATGTAAGTAGAAGATTGAGTCCTTGCCCTAGAGTATTCACATCCTGTTGGCTCTTCCTCCAAAATACATCCACAATCCACTCTTCCCCGCCTCCACTGCACACCTCATTACCCTGGTTGAAGGCCCTATAATCTTTCAGCTGACATGCAGTGATAGCCTTCTGACTGCTGTTCCATAAACCTGCCAAGGGCATTCCCACCTCAAGGCCTTATACTTGCTTTTCCCTCCATCTAGAATGCTCTTCCCATATATACACAGAGCTCAATTCCTTCAGGTTTGTGTTCAAATGTCATCATATCAAAGAGGCCAACCCTGACACTGTATATAAAATAACCCCCTCTCTCCTATCCACAACCACCCTTCTTTATTTCTCTTCATAGCATTTATCATTATCTTACATGGCACATATTTATTATTAGTTTCAGCTACTCGAATCTAAGCTTCTTGAGAGCCCAGATGTTTGACTATCCTGTTCACTGCGGTATCCTCCGTGTCCAGAATGGACAGTGCCTGGCACACAATAGGTATTCAATAAATATTTGTTCGATGACATTTAACTGGTAATTATTCAAGTTAAGTAATGATACAGGGCAACAGCAAATTAGTATTTCAAGACAGTTCATAGTTAATTGCTAACTGAATAGCATAGGCCAGTAATACCCAAAGATAATACATATCTCCATCACTTGGAGAGGTTTTCCAAAATACACATACACAGACCTCACCACAACTGATTCACCAAATCCCTCCAGGTGGAAATCTGAGCATATGTATTTTATTTTATTTTTAATTTTTTTTAATGTTTATTTATTTCTGAGACAGAGGGAGACAGAGCATGAGTAGGGGAGGGGCAGAAAGAGAGGGAGACACAGAATCAGAAGCAGGCTCCAGGCTCCGAGCTGGCAGCACAGAGCCCGATGCGGGGCTCGAACTCACCGCGAGATCGTGACGCGGGCTGAAGTCGGACGCCCAACCGACTGAGCCACCCAGGCGCCCCTGAGTGTATGTATTTTAAACAGCTTCTTAGAATGATTCTATTTTGCTTTTATTGTGGTACACTATATATTACATAAAATTTGCCATTTTAACGATTTCCAGGTGATTCTCTATTTTGTACCTATCTAAAACTCCTGGTGTAGTATTATGTCAGTTCCGTAGCAGGAGAACAGGTGAAAGGGAGGATCTTAGAGCACGAGCTTTGGAGTTGAATAAGGTTCACCACTCATTAGCTGTGACAATGGGCAAGTTACTTAACTCAAGGTTTCCACACCCACAAAATGAAGATAATCTCTATACTCTTTCCCAATATCCACTCCAGACTGTTTCAAGCAAAGCTAAAATGAAATCAAGTATATAAAATATATATATATATAATATAAAATAAAGTATCTATTTGGTGCACATAATAGGCATTAAACTAGAACTTACTAGAATTACTTTCACTGAAACAGGAAAACAGTTTCATATGGGCAGAAACACAAAAAGTATGTGGAATCCTGGCATAAGTGGCTAGAACAATGAAACTTCTACTGATAGGCCAGGTGAGAAAGAAACTTGACAGGAGTTCCACAGACATGACCATATTAGAACAGAGGTTTTCAAACTTGATCATGCTTCCAAATCACCTAGAGGGCTTATTGAACACAGATTGCTGGGTCCACTCCCAGACCTTTTGATTCAGTAATTCTGGAGTGGGGCTTGTTAATGTGCATTTCTCATAAGTTCCCAAGTGATGCATAGGCTGATGGGTTTTTGGTCAAAGGGTAGAAAATTTCAGTTCAACAAGACGAAGAAGTCCTAGAGATCTGCACGGCATACAGCCTATAGTTAATATTACTGTGTTGTATGCTTAAAATTTGCTGAGGATAGATTTTATATTCAGTGGTCATATCACAAAAAAATAATAAGAGCATGGGAGGAAACTTTTAGAGGAAATAGATAGGTTTATGACCTATGGTAATGATTTCATGGGCATATACTTATCTCTAAACTCATCAAGTTGCATACACTGAATATGTACAGCTTTTTGTAAGTCAACCATACAATAAAGTCTTAAAAAGCCAAAGAATTAAAGCAAGCATACCCAAACAAAACCTGTGAGATTAATTCCTGCAATATAATTTTTTTAAATCAAAAAGCTAAAATGGTTCGCTTTTCAAAAAACTATATCCAATAATATGTTTATGGTTTTTAGAACATGAAAATTAAACAAAAGTCAACTATTACATAATAATACAAGAAAAATTTCATGCCCCTGGTATCTTAATGACAAATTCAATCCTGAAAATAGATTCAAAGTTAATTCTTGGAACACTCATTGTTTTGAAAGCTAAAATTTAGATAAAAACAAAATGTGGTGGTTTTAAAAGAACAAGTGTAGCCCATAACTTCTGAGGCATAAATGACAAAAAAGAATACTCACAGGTATGGAGGCATTCTGTCACTGTAGTTGGCTTGATCAGGTACCCTTTACAGATGTAGCAGGTGATATAAGGATTGAAATCTTTCACCAAGTGTTTCCTTTGGGTAGCCATTCGTGGTTAGCTAGGACTGGCTTTAGTAGTTCAGGCAAAGAGGGGTAGTAAGCGGACGAAGTCTGATCCCAGGAGCTGGCGTGGAGTTCCCAACTGGATGTCCTGAGGCATGAGAACTAACATCCAGATTTATCATGAGATCGCTGGTCATCACTCCTTTTGGTGGTTCTGCTTTCCCATATCTGTTTCCACAGTAATTTTAAAAAGATAAGAGAAAAAGAGTGTCAAATTCCTCATACGGTATTAATAACATATTAGCAGCAAGTGTTATATGCTCCAAATTGGGTGTATGGGTGAACAGAACACTTCATTCACTGTCACATTAATTTGTAAACCTGCTATGGTGTCATTCAGGAAAATGACAAATTCATCCAATCCTGGAGCCTTAACTCTCAATTCTACAAGTGACACCCAAAGCGGTTAACTCCAGTTTTGATATCTTTACCTCTTCAGTAATGCAGTTTAACTACCTGCTTGACTTCTCTATTAGGAGTCCTTACCAATACAAGTTACAAGATTCAAAATTGAAATCATTATCCTATCAAAATGCTTCCTATTTCCATTTTGTACCCTGCATCCAGTCAGTGAAATCAAGTTGATGTCCTTTTCCGTTCCATCCATAGCCACCCTATTTGAATAACACCTCTCCACCTGCAGTCCATCTTACATTCTACCAGATTTAGTTTATTCTATCACATTCGGGTCCTCTTTTCAAAGACTGTCAGTGTTCCCTCTTTACAGACAGACAGACATTTACATTCCTTAGCTTTCCATACAAGACCTTCACAGGCTGACCTTAGCATACCCTTCAACACTTTTCTTCAGGCACAGTGAAAGGATCTCTCATAGTCCATTTTGCAGGCTCTATATACCCACTGTCCAACAAGCCCTTCCTCTCCTCTAAATCCTACCTGTATCCTTGGAAACCCTTCTCCAAAGTTATGCTCAGTGTACTCTCTTCTCGGGTTTAACCCTTACTGCTCTCCTATCACATCTTTCTTTTAATTTATAGTTCCATTCATTCTTTATCTCCTCTATTAGACTGCAAATTCTTTGATAGAAACTGGTCACATTTAGTAAACGTATAACTTGGGCAATGTTATTTATCCTCTCTAAATCTCAGTTTTTAAACTATTAATGAAAAGAGTGCGCGCACCCTAGAGTGGTAAGGATTAAATAAGACCATATACATAAAGCTAGCACACAGTAAGAACTGAACGTCATTAACTTTTTTTCCAGAAATGTTTAGCACAGTTGGCTGGTCCGTGGAGTTGCTGGAAAAAAAGTTTTAAAAGTTTCTTACAAACAAATGTGCTCTAGGAGAAAACAGCATGAAGGAAGGTACTGATTTCCTAAGTTAATCCTATGAACAGGAACTTTTCTCCTATCTTAGCGGTTAACTCACAGGTGAGTATAAAGCAATGGGAGAGGTAAAAGGCATCACTCCATTGACACATCGCCATTAAGAATGTGCACGGTACAGGTTCTCGGGGTGTCATCCTGACCGCTCAGGAGAACTGTGTCGAGGGTGTAACACAAAGGGAGCATAAATAACGGC